AGGTGGCATGGCGTAGGTTATTAACTGCTCCAGCGACACTGGGCAACTACTGACATTGAGGATGTGACGATGTATACGTACAGGCCCTCAGGCAGAAGCTTTCTGCCTCGTTCAATGTGTAACTGATAGTATGACGTCAAGAATGACGTCTCTGCATAGGAGTAGCGTTTAAAGTAGTATTTGTGGCATAATTACGAAGGAGGACGAAAAACGAAAGAAGAAGGTATAATTTCTGCCTGAAGGCATTATTTCCTTCAGTAAATCTTTCGTTTCAATATGCACCAACTAGTCCTTAGGGATACTCCGTAAAAGCTAAACAAGTAATACAAGGTCCTTCAAGTGTGATAAATATAGCTTCCTCCTCTTTCAATCAAGCCATTTTTCTTAGTTTCTATTCATATAAATTTCGAATGCCGCAGTCTATTGCAAGTTAAGTTTATTCCTGTATTTTTACAAGGGCTGTTCATAGATAAAACGAACAAGTAGTATTCAAGATTGGATGCCGAGCGTAAAACAAAGGGAACTGTTTTTACACTTATCAACAGCTACTATATACGACACAATGGCTGTGTTCAGATTCTAGACAGCATTGTAAACAGCCTACGCTGACAGTCTGGAAAACCGCATGAAGCCCGTGTTGTCCGAGTAATGGAACGTGTCCAGAATACGTCTACTTGACGTGACGACACCCCGCGTCGACAAGAGAAAGCTGAGATAAACAAACAAAAGTGTTACCGAGCACTTCGCTGAGCTGCCATCTTGATGGCAAGCAAAATAACTAGCATCAACGAGTTTCTTAAAAAATACACTAGAGGGAATTCAGACGCTAGCGTCTTTAGGAGCAGCAACGCATTACGCATCAGTGAGCACGGGTAAGACGGGCAGTACACATATTTGTGTAATCTTTGTATGTCTGTTTTCATTTGGGTTCGTGTGGCTTGAAGCTGTTTTGTCCCGAAGCACAAATCGGCAAGTATTCAGCAGATGTGCTTCACCACCTTAGTCATTTAGGCTTACCATTTTAAATCGGGTAGCGAAGTTTGAAATGATTCGTTCTTTGCTTCAAAACAAAACCGAAACACAACAATAAACGAAGACACAAATGATATTCGTGAACCGCAAGTACAATACTTAGGCGAATAAAAGTACTACCCATAATTCCCGTGGTCTCTGAACGATCGCAGTTGCCAGAGAATCCTCTAGTTAATTTTAAGAAACTGTAAGACCTGCATTGTTTTTGTCTATAATGTCGCGTACTTGAGGTTGTCTATTTGGCCGGCTACGTGAACATTAGAATGGTGCTTAAGATTGCGGTCACCCACTTAGCTGTCTATTTAGCCGTCTACGGTGGGTATTGGAGCACACTAATTTCAAACATGAAGCAAAATCTTAGCGGTGTAACGGCTTGAAAACTAACGAGGCCTTTCTCGCTAAACGTGTTTGACATTGATTCGTGCATGTCAGGTGAAGGGAAAAAATTGCGTTGCGGCCATTTTATAAGCATGAAATTTCAAGTGCCGTTTTCCCCCCGTTTGTGCTCCTCCGAGGTGCACAGAGATATGCTTATACAGGTTAACAGTAACATCAGGGGGCATGAACCATAGCACACCATGCGAAATCCTTGCGTTGCCATTCTTGCTGATTGCACCATTATACAGCTGTGGAATGCCGGGACCTTTGACCAGCGAATGCCCCCGTCATTCAGAGCGCTTTTAATGAGTGATATCAAAATACGTCAGGTCTTCTCGCCATGCAGTGCGCAAAGCGTGACGATATGGCGTAAGCAAAATAGTACTCTGTATTTCGAGTTATGGTACAGGCACCCAGCCTCCAGTAAATGATGTATGGTAGCAGTGCCTTAGGTTTGAGTGATAGATCATTCGCTATTAAACCATTGCAAGTTTTCGCCGTCGAAAAGCTTTGAAAAAGAAAACTAGAATGTGCATTCTGGGATGTCTTTATATAATGAAACTTGCGTGTGTTTGCGTGTGCGTGAGCATGTGGGTTGAGTAACCTTTACAATGTAGTTTGAATACCTATCGCTGAACTAAATAAATAATGAAGAAAACACGAAGTCATAAACGACACACTTTTTATTGTTTCGGTAAGAACAGATTGTCTTTAGCCACCATGGACAACTCATTGACACATCATTAAAACGTTACAAGTTAAATAAATGCCAAAAGCAATAACCACCTTCTTAGGAGCACATTCCTCCACTATTCACTGCATTCGTCACTATAGGCTTAAAATATTTAGGCAAAATTAACGAAGATGCAGAGAACTTAAAGCCCTTTGTATCGTTATTACTTATCAACTTGTGAACTGAGAACTATACCTTTATCGAAGTTCTCGCATATAAAGCCTATAGCTCAATGGAGATGTTTTAAATACAAGACGTTCGCGAACATTCTTGCGGAAACGTTCTAGTAAGTCCCCTTCGGTCGATATTGTTCCCGACGTGAACACAGAAGTGTTTAATATCATGACCTGGGCTTTTCACTGTGTATTCCAAATTCCCCGTACCATTCCAGAAAAGTCAGTTACTGTTTGTTTTCTCCTTGCATTTTCTGTTTTTACCAATCTATAACATACCCGTTCTAGCGTAACGCAACATTTGTTCATGCCTTAAATGATATTTTGTTTCTTTCTGTTATTCATACTATATTCTTTCGTTTGGCTATCCTTATTGAAAAAGGTACTCTTTCGAGGTGTACCCACTGAACAATGCGCCCTTTTTCGGAGAATTCGTCAGTTACAGTTTGTGGGTCTCAATATCGGCAACATCACTCCTTTCGGCAAGCCTGTTGGCCCGAACACTCTTGAAGACAGGACGTATTTGGGGAGTTTTTTTCTCCCATAAGAATAATCGCTATTTGTATCGCGTGCCTTTCTTAAAAGTTATTGTCACGGACTAACTTCTGATGAGACTGTAGCGAGTGAACTTTTTTTAATAATTTAGACGTCAAACTAGTGAGATAGTCCTCGTTAATTGTGTGACAGAGATGCATAAATGCACGGTTTATTTTTAGAGTGTCCACCTTTGCTGCTCACTGGCCTAATTTTGAACGCCCTGCAAGTGTTGTTTGGCGCTGTGAGTTCAAATCACAAAAATATTTTATCTCTTCTTCCAATTCACGTCAATGTACGGCAAAATTTGTCGAAAGGTCAAGTTTTGGCACCGTAGTAACTTTTTTTTCAACGAATACCTCTCCCAATCAGTCCGGTCTAATGACAACAAAAACAAAACAACAAGCGGCCCCTACGCGTAAGCACTTGAGAGACAAAAAAATACTTCGTAATATCGTCCTGTACCTTTCTTTACCGTGCTCTATGCGGAATGAGAGTGATTATAGATTAAGCTTCATTTGATCAAACAAGGTTGACTGGCACCATGCTTTTGTTGTAGGCAGGTCGACCCGGTTTCATCGGTGTTATGCCTTACGTCCAAGATAAAGTGGCACCACGCAGCGCACACAGCGTGAACAGCTTACCGACTCCGTTCATTGGAGGCTGTAGTCAGCCATTTTAGGAAGTTAAGCTGGCGCTTACTGTTACAAAACTGCTGCGTCATGCATGAAACGTGAAAGCGTGGACACCATTGAGCACGTTATGCGACAACTAATACTGATGTACGTTTGACCGACTGATTGCCGGACTAACCAAATGAATTGCAAAGTAAAGAAGAAAACACAAGGAAGGGTATGCTCAAATATCATCAGCAAATTCGCAGGCAAGGATCTAAATTAGCTATAACGTAAGATGGAGAACTCAGGTGCATAGGAAGAGCCTTTCCTGTGTGGTAAAGTTAAACGTACTGATGGCAATGAATACGATGCTCATTGTGGTGAAATGAACGATGAATCTTTTCTTACTACAGACTTTTCCCTCATCTGCTAGAATAACCTTAAAGTTGGACATTTCAAGATTTGCCTGATGTATCTTTACACACGTCCCGTTGGCTATACTTTCCTTTTCATGGTATTTACGTAAGTGCTGTGGTAGTACGCCGGTGATTTACTTTTTACAGTCTCTTACAAGGCAGCGAATATAATTATGATAGAATGATAGCGCTATATGCACAGTAGAGTCTTCGCAAAATGAAATTTCTGCCAGTGCTTCCAAGTGGTGACATAGAGAGCATTCAGCAGGTCGAAAGAGGTTTGGAAAGAGCAGAAGAAAATCATGTAGCTTCTTGATACTACGGAGGCATAGGAGGCGAGGAGCAAGCTGAAATAATGTGAGTATCCCTTGTTGTCATACGTGAGATTTCGTGGACGTCACTTTTAAATATCCCCCCCCCCCCCGAGCAACAAATGCAGTACACCACGCAATTTCGCTACTACTGCTACAACTACACACATTTCTCTTCAGTAGAGACGTTTAAACGACAATGTTAATTGTGCCACACGACATAACAGTGCGAGGATTTCAAGTATTGCGGTGAATACTTAGCGTTAAATATCACGTAAAGTGACGATAGTGAGAGGAACTGCAAACTCAGTAAGAAACTTGCGTATAGTCATTCGGACAATCACTGTGGCCGAAAAAAAAACGCCACTTTTCTATCTAACTTACAGCCCGACCAGCTGATCCTACGCTTGTAACCTGCTGGTGTCACAGTTTGTCCACTAGACTCCGCAATGCAAAATTTTCACCAGTCCTGTGCGTCCTTCGTGATAGGGATAGTATTCGAACGTTCTACTGCGACCTCCGCCTGGATTCACTGTAGCTGCTTGAATGCAAGATGTCTTATATTGCATTTAAATGATATTTAGATGCACGGAAGTGCAGTCCTGTGGCTGCGATAACACACCACATTGCTTTAAGATGGGTCTTTGTCCATATGATAGAGTATGAAGGGCAGTTCTGAATCAGCGGATTCTGGCAGCTTGTTTATGCTGTGACGCACATTCTCTAGAATTTCAATTGTTCCTTGCATGTTCAATAATGTCAGCCGGGAGTTAATTCTTCACGATTCTGTCTGTCACTATGTGTTGATGCTTGGCGCACATGATATGTGGGCCGTGACAGTTGAATTGTCTATTAGACGCTGGGATGCAAGGGCTAGCTGTATTTCGGCTATGGAATTTATTCCGCGTTTATTGGTACCAACGCACATCTTGCAAGCAGGGTTTTGTAAACGCAATCATTTTTGTGCCTTGCAGAAGTGTACTGGTTGGTAGATTATTGTAGGAGAATCGAAAGTGGCTCAGAGAACGTTACATGTGTCCGTCGTCGTCTCCCCTTCCTACCCGAAGCTATTTTAAACCACGTCACTGCCTTGTCAGATGATAAGCTGGAGCGACCAAATAAATACAGAGTGGTTGTAGTATTTCACGAGCTCGCTGAATAATGTTTTCGGAGCACAACGAGATGCGAAAGGATCACTGAGCGAAGCGAGTCTTATTTTTGTGTGCGTGGAAGCCGATGGTAGAATTGGCTGAAGAACACGGCCGGACACTAAGTCACTTCTTCGCATTTCTTTTTTTAAAACAAGTATTTTCTAGTACTTTCGACGCTCACCTAGCGCGCTCCCACCCAAAGTCACGTTGCACAAGTTTGAAGAACTCCTCGTTGTGCGGCTCAAAGAACTTTCTCAGCCTACGCACGTTCACCTCACTGAGCCTCGGGTGGGTGCGGCCTTTGGTCTTGCCGAGGCAGTGAGGGCTGCCGCTACCTTCACTCTTCTTTAGGCAGGGAAAACCCTTCGTTCGGTTGAAGTAGAAGTGGTCCTCGGACACGAGCCGCCTGAGGCCCAGGAAGTCCTGGACCATGGCCATCTCGCGGGCTGGGTTCCTCACCAGCTCCTCGCCGCTGACGACGTGAATCTGGGACTGGGGAAAGTGCCTGAGCCATTGTGCCAGGTGATTGGCGTACAGGCCGATGCGTATGCCGGACCACGCCTCGTCGACGTCGCTGCTTGCGTTCCAGCACGTGCTGTTTTTGTTACTGCGACTGACCGTACCGCAGTCCCGGTTGATGGCCTCGTAGACGTCGGTGTTGGGTACATCGTTGTCAGAAGTTCTAGCTTCACTCCTTAAGCCCGTGAATGAGGCTGATGTACCTTTCTCTTTAGTGGTTATGGAAGGAACGTCTTTTGGAATACTGTTACCATCACCATCTCTGTTATGTCGGTGAGTTCGGCTGAACCAATCTGGGCCAGCCTTTGTCATATTTAGACTGGCAAGCATATAATTAGGCATTTTATTTCGCGCGTGCCATATATAGTTGTGTTCTTTGCTGTGAAGAGCTTGTTCGGTGCTGATAACCCTATCGTTTTCTTCAATGGCATTCTTGTGTGTATTTTTTGTGTCAAGAGCCTGATCTCTCTCCAACGTATTTTTACGATAGTTCACCTTCCCAGTGAAGGTCCTTCGAGCACTTCTATGTGCACTGTAGTGAGGTGTTGCGGACCCTTCACTATCAATGCCGAGACTTCCAGAAGTCGAGGTTCTTCCAGAACTGATAGTGCCGTTCCCATCGTTGCTGGTTCGCCTCTTGCGGTTCGGCTGGTGGCGAAAGTTTGAAGTGAAGCCTCCGTTTTTTCTCCGCTTGCGCCTACGGAACGCTAGCGCTTCGAACGGCAGAGTGGTGTCAGGACGCTTAGAAGCCGTCTGGGCATAGTCGGAGAGGGCTCGAGTGACTGGGTCCCGAACTACGACCAGGAGGCGGGCATCGGGAAGCGTGTTTCGGATGCGAGCCGGAACCTCTTCGGTCACGAAGTAGCTGGGCGTCTTCTCCATGGTGATCTGCTCTGGTAGTGTCAGCGGCATCTGGAGCCTGCGTAGTGGAAAAGAGATAACATGTACGTCTAGCAGGAAAGAGCATGTAAGCAACTTCTAATAATTCAAAATTAGACATCCCCCTCATACCATGGCAAAAATATTTATCTACTGTACCAAATGTGCGTACTCTTGAAGGCATAAAAAAACAGAAAAGAAAAATTGCCTAAAAGGAAACCGAAGTGGTTTCTAGTCTCAGTGAACTGCGAAAATGAGCCAATAAACGCTGCAGACTAACGACCTTCTTTGTCATTAGGAGCATATTTATTAACACTGATATTTTCATATAGGCAAACCACGTAACATATCGCTTCATCAACAAAGAAAAAGCCGGAGCGCTGATCAAAACGACAAGACAACATTTTGTGGGGACGCTCCTTCGCCTCATGTTTAACGCTGTGTAATCTCCCCATTTCTTAACGCATAACACACACTAATCACCTGGCTAACCATTACTGTCCCAAATTCAGGGTGCTAAATGTGTTCTAAACATTGCAGTAGCGAAACAATTATTGATAGACCTGATTCGGTCTCAGAAACAAACGGCCATTTCATACAATTAAATTTATTTTTGAGATACTTACATTATTTGATAGTAACAACTTCCCGTGATCCACGATAAATTCAAAACAAACGTGTAATGAAAATCACCTGAATGGCTGCAAAAATGATTGAAGACAAGCTCCGCATGAAAGTAGGCAGGGACTATGTCATCATCGTAATCGAGTATTTCCGGCTAAGCCACCATTAACTGCAGTGGAAAAGGGGAGCTCGGGTTTTGGCAAATACGCTGCTTGTTAATTACTGATGCCCTCTTTTTATTTATTGTGAAAAACTTCGTGCAAATGCATATATTAAAATAGACATCCGTAACATTCTTATATGTGAAAACGTGGAAATTCTTCTGTAATAATCACATGCCTAATATATTCTAGATACTGTCGCAGAAACTTTTGGTATTCGATTTGATTCGATTAGCTCATAGTTATTCGGGATTGACTGGTTCTTCGAAATTACTCTTGACTGACAAATATGACTATCTTTCATGGTTCGTTACACTTGCGGAACTCTGGTAGTTCTAAAGAAATGAAACTGCCAAATCATGGCTTCATCATAAAACGTGTCGACCTACACAAGATGGTGATTCGTAATGACTTCCGGAAACCTAGGCAGTGGGATAGTAGCGAGTAGGTTTGACATCTAAATAAAGATATATTTTTTGTATATGGATATGCAACTTGCAGAAAGCCAAGCTCAACAGAGCTGTTCTTCCTTGCAGAAATACTACCCTGAAAAAGCGGGTTTCAGAACCACGTCGCAGATTTAGAGAGGGATATATTGTATCGCGAACACAGAGATATTAGTATAACTCTAAGCAATGCTGCTCCGTGCCTCACTGCCTTATTGACGTCTATGCTATTAAAAAATAAAGATCAAGGTTTCATTAATATTACTTTTGTGGTCTACCCTCATCCTTCTTAGACCATCTCGTCACTGCCGCAAGGTTCGTAAATTTTTAAAAAGTGAGAAGGTTGTGGCATAACCCAGCACATTAATAGTAAGACCCAAGATTGAAACTTCCGGAGACGGTACTAGAACGCCGAATGGCTCGCCGGAGAAACATGGCCTCATACTTCACCATCCGCACGGGACGAAACCCGCCTTAAGCAGGTGGAAGGTGTCCGCTATGGCACCGAGGGCCCGTGCTGTCAGAAAAGGCATCGATTCGTTGCTCAAACAGCCATTCTTCTACCTTTTATCGGCAGCCCCGAATCGACCCGTGGAGTCGATTTCCCTCGACCATTATCGATTCTTGCGTATCGGAGATCAATGCGACACTTCTATGGGCGCCATGGCCCTCCCACTACGCCACGCCAGCCGCATGCGTCGCCGCACGCCGTGAGTGTCAGCGACAAACAAGGCCTGGTGGATATATGGGCGAGCCTCCCTGAAAGAAAGCCGTCGGTACTAACAAAAAAAAAAATAGAAACGCCAGCTTGGCTTCGGTTCTTGTAAGACCTAGGGCTCTTTCTTTAAGGTCTCCAGCAGGGCTAAGAAGTTGACACCCTCTTGAGAACGCTTAGATGGAATATCTGCGGCGTAGTACTTGCAGATTAAGAAAAAGAAAAGTTGGACAGTTGGCTGAGAACATGAAGTGCCTGCTGCCAGAAGCACGGAAAGTTTTGAGAGTTTCGAAGGAAAAGCGCTGAATGTAAACAAGTACTTTATGCATGTGGTACTGTACGAGCAATAAATAATAAGCTTCTAGGAAGGACGAAAACAATGAAAACGTGGAAGAACAGAAAGACTGCTTTCTGACAGCAGTGTAGACTACGCCGAAAAATGTGGCTGCTTACGCGGTATGGTGCAACCTGTCACATAAAAAATTCTTTCACACCCTCTTATATATTGTTGACCAAATAGATCTAGTGAGGCTGTGTCTTTGGAGAACTTTGGAATACCCTGAATTCTCTTAAGTGTCCAATAACGAAATCTGCATAAAAGTCACGTAAGGTGCTTGCTATCGGTATTTGAGTGATAGGTTTATCAATAGTTGCGATTGAATTCATGATGTGTGCCTTTTTAAAGAGGCTGCATTCGCAGTATGAAACCGATCAACAGAATACGTTTTATAAATTGACGAAAAATTACAACATATACTTCCAGGATTTCGAACACGTGCTGCTTAAGGAAGCCATTTTGTAGAATACGTCAATAAAAGTAACGAGGAATTGCACCCGCTTCTTGAAAGTGCGTTCTAAGTGCGTGAAAGAATCAAGTACCGTAAGTAATAAATAATGCAGGTCATTGCGAAGCATCTCTGGCCCGTGGCTGTGACAAAACCTATCGCCTTGAATTACATGGTACAATTACCACTAAGCATATTTTATTCATAATGCTTCTTGACGCTCAGTTTTTTGACAAAATACTCTGTCCATTAGAGGCTTCACACAGGAGTGTATTTTATGTTAAGAGACCCGGTGTCCAAACGTGGTCGCAAAAGGGGCGGATACACCATAGACGCTGACGAAGAACTGGTCTTACACCAGCTGTCGTGTCAAATGGGTAAACCACTAGGTTTATCACTGGTTGCAATGTGTCTGTGATGCTCTATTCATTTGAGGAGGGCAGATGCACACCATTTGATGCAGACATGTTCCAGTTTACAGTCAGAACAGTTTATTATCCTACTGCGAGACGATCTCTGCTAAAAATGTCACAACCAGTCGTGACCGCTGAACACCATATATTGGATTCCACAGAAGCAGAAGAAAATGAAAAAAAAAGAGTAAGAAGAAAATTACGTTTATGCAAAATTTTGCGTTGCTGCTAAAACGTGATAAAACTGCGTTGTCGGACCCCTCCCTATTCCAAGGTACCACTAGGTATAGTAATCTTTTCAGCCCTCCTGACTGGCTTGAGTTAATGCGCTAGGGCAGAGGCACCGTTCAATTATACACAAAACATTGTGCTGAAGAATTCTTCTAATGCCCAAGAGCGCGAGCGTAAGAAGAGACAAAAAAAAAGGCAACGATCAGCGCCAGCGCTTGCTATGAACACACTGTGAGTGCAATAGTCTGCTCTAACGTAAATATATTCACTATCTCTCAAATGGTGTGGTTAATTCTGCAGCACAGGGTTCAGAGCCCGTGCGTATACACCAAAGCTTTGTGCGTTAAAGGCATGTCTATAACGTAGCAAAATAAAAAAAAAGTTGTGTGCACTGAAAGCGTAGTGTGTTTCTCTCATCAAGTAAAAGTGATTTTAGCCAGCACACTTCTATCCCTTTTACCCTCTTCCTAAACGGTTCCATCTAGTTTTGAACACAAACTTTTCGGACAAGCGCGACTTTTCAGCTTTGTATGGTGCAGTATAAAAAATGAACTTGCTTCTCATTGTTGCGTTGTTTATTTATGGGCGCCGTTCGCGAAAGAAATAGTCTCGAAGCTTTATACGAAACGTAAACCTGTTCACTCGAACAAATGACATTCTGTGTTCCAGCAATCTATGAGTTCGGACTAAGCAGTCCAATTCAATCAGTCCATCGACCCGAAATAATGTTGTCCATCAGGGCGGTGGCACTGACACTACCTTTTTGTTCTTTTTTTACAATAAAAATGTTGTAAAGTGCCTTTTGAGGCATTCGCGCGTACTTTCAACGTCTCTGCAATAAGCCTTCACATTTAATTTTCCGCGCCGTCAACGTTATTAGGCCTAAAACGTGAACCACAAAAAGAACAGGCGGGAACGGACACGATTCCCCAAAATTGCTTCCGCCGTATCTATTGATAGGATCAAGCGAGCGTACGAGGGAAACAGAAAACCATTTGGGACGATACTGACAACCGGAACCCGACGACGACGAAGACAACAGTGAGAAATAATTTCGCCTACCATGAGCAGTACAGCAAGAACAGTTGAAAACCCGGAACGACGAGAAAATAAACAATAAATTGGCAACAACCGAAACGACAACGCACACACAATTCCGGAGACGCTGAGGCAGCAACAATGCTCAGATACGAACTGAAGAATTGTTTTTCGGGTTTTCGACATGTTTACTTTCGGCGAGGTGAGGTGGGTGAGAGAGGTGGCGACCTCTAGTGAGCTGTAATATGACGTTCTGCCTGGAGCTCACAGAAAAACTCTTAAACGTGGCGAGAAAAACTCAAACAAAAAAAAAACTGAAATTATGACGCCGTATCGGAGAAAAGAGTAACCAGCAACGAAAGCGAACTCCACTGCCATTTCCGCTTTTTTGTTTGTTGTTTCTTGTTTATGAATCTCTACAGTCTCTTTTTTTTTTTGGAATTTCCGCTAATATTTAGTACGCTACGCAAAAGCGATGATATGTGACATCATTGTCAAATGTGTCATGTTCCTCCACTCTCCAACTTTTCTACTCTTTTACTCTCTCCATTGCATTTTTCTCTTCTCTCTTTCTTTCATTCCACCACCCGCCTGCGCTCGCGAAACAAGGAAACAGCTTTATTAGAA